AAATGCTGAAAGTAGGGTTATACGAGTGGGGCTACATAAGCTACTTTTGCCTTTTTTTAAACCGGAAGAATATTTTCGTGCATTTTGTCTTCTCTATCAAACGTATTTGTATTCCCAACGACACCGAAAGTCGACGAAAAAAATCATATTACATTAGCAGTAATTACTTTGCGGACTGTATTATTTGCAGGCGGCTGCAAAGCAGGTCGTTCATAAGCCGGCATCCCGACATGACTGATATATCTTGGAGTTGGGCTGCACGATATTTAATCTTATAATCCAATTGAAGTAAATTTTTTCAAATAAATAACACATTTGAAAATTCCAATTGACATTTTATGAAATAGCACGTCATGAAACCTTGCTTGTTATTTGCGTAATGTCCTAAGCAAAGTTGTTATCCTTGTTTTTCTTCCAGGGAGGAAGCCAAGGCGCTCTGCCAAGCATATACACGGGCCTCCTTTCTCGTTCCAAGACCTCCTGCCGCGGCGGGCATGTTTGAGGACAACTCCACTCTCTTTGAGATAAAGGAGGTGGGTGTCTACGGTTTATGCATGCATGACACATGCCTGATCTTCACCTAACTTTCATACCCCATATTTCCGTCAAATCTGGTTACTTCACCTTTCACACCTGTTTTAGAGCTTCGGATTGTCTGCCATCTTATAAATTAACTATTAGATCTTTGGAAATTGCCTTGTACCCACCAACGAGCCGTCGATTATTGTCAGAAATAAGTTTTTGTTAGGGAGTCTACCAGTGATCCTTTGCCACGGCAATCGATTTTCACCTTTCTGCTTTAAGTAGGAAAATTTGAGCTTTATCTCCAAGCCCATCCTTTGAGTTGTGATTGAGAATATGCAGGTTCGCGCTCTTTCAGTATTGCGTTCGTACTTCAATCCATCAGCTTCACAGTCAAGCAAATAGCTACGAGTGAACTAACAACACCGACCGACTGTCCATTTCTGCTCGATGGTTCAAATGGCGTAGTCTTCGATGCAAATTCACACTGGTCTGTTCGCAAAGTCGAAATTAAGGTCTGACTATGGTTGACTGAGGACTGCGCACACTTAAAAACAAACCGGCCTCGTTATACTAAGCTTTTTCGGTATTGCCTTTTCTGTTGCTTTGCTTGTCGCTGCATTGTTTCCGGTGAGATTAGTAGACTGGAACCCCAAGGCAAAACTGAACGAACATGTTCCTTCATGTAATCGAATCAGCGAAGCTCCACTTCTGCACGACTCCGGGGAAAGTAGAAGTAGACAAGAAGACGGCGAAGGCATGTGGATTACCGGAATCATGGGTTTATTCGTATGAACTTTCGAATTCTTACTAGAGTTCATCGTCAGAGATAACGTCGTCAATGAGAAACAAGCAACAGTTATAGAGGGAAGGGGCCAATCAATCACCAGTGCCGTCAGTCTGCAGATGCCTGTGCAGGGCGATGCATGCCGGCGCCAGATCGATTGACTGGGTTCTCATCCGAGGCCCAGGCTCCAATCAATTCTCGGCCTATCTTGCTGCCGGTGTGGGCGATTATCTTCGCGGCTGCGAAGCTAAACTCGTGACCCGTCTTGCAGGCGTGGGCAGCCACTTCTGACAGCCAGCTTGTCTTCGAGTTCGAAAGCTCAGACGAATAAACCCATGATTCCGGTGATCTTCTTCTTCCTCTTCTTTTTCTGGGATGCGAATATTCTCCTCAAAGTAGAAGCCATTTGAAAAAGCATCCTTAGTTCGACGCAAGCGGCCCCCATTCAGTTAAGCATATACGCCTAAGCATGAGTCAGTTGACAGTCAGTATTTACTTTTATCGGTTGGTGACTTGTGTTTGAGTAGACTATGGGCGTTTGTTGATGCGATGATCGGCAGTGCAAATCAGCTTTTTGATGAAGACTTTCAAGCGTTGTAAGCTTATTGGTCTGCATTTTTTCTTGGCCTTTGTAGTGTATATAATGTTAAACACAATATGATATCTCGACCATCGATTTCGATGTAGTCCATCATATGCACCAAAATGTTGGTACAGTGATGGTGACTAGCTACAGGAGGTAGTTTAAAGTAATAGCGCCGACCGCACTCTTCACCTTCACCATGGGTCAAGAAGACCAGATTGGATCCGGCG